TTTTTCTAGGTGTATGTAAAACCCCGATGATTGATAAGGCTTTCGGCCGCGAAGCAGCAGCGCAACTGCATAACGATTTTCCTCCAAGGCAAATAGAACCTGTGGAATTTGGAACATTTGTGAAACATGTTATCGAATCGCCCATGCTCAATGGAACATGTATCAAATTTGGCGGACGACAGGATGTTGCCACAGGACTTGTGGAGTGAAGGAAGAAGCTTCATGTTTTTTTGCTATTAATAAAACATCCATTTTGTTAATAAATTATTTCTATTTCAGTTGGCATGGTTTATTTAAATAATGCAATAAAATATTAATTACTTATACTTATACAAGAAAGAATTCCTAGCTTTCATCGCTTGAAGTTTGGCGTATTTAAAATATCTGCGCATTTTGGGGAAAACAGAAATGCGTTTTAGTTCCCGAGAAATGGCTTCTTTTTACTGGAGGAGTAATGTTTTTTGCATTTTATCAAGGGACGTTCCTCGTAGAGACGTTTAAATTTTCTTGATAACGCAATATCACAAGAAACGAAAATAGTTTTTCATAAAGATGTTTTATTCAGAATGGTTTGAAACACGGTAAATCCACAAAGAAAATATTTTAGAGTTAAATTGGATGCCAATTTAACTCTGGAATATTTTGCACCTCTGCTTGGTACTTTTTGACTTCCGGAAAATCCAGCTTTTTCCCGCTTTCGTTCTTTAACGTTTTACTAGTAGACTGGAACATAAACTTTGTGGCATTAGGTATTTTTAGATGACGCAGAAGATAGGTATTGCAATTTTCGCGTTCCCTATAGGAAGCGCTACTTGCGACCAATTGTGCGGACGCTTTGATTAATAATTCTTCAGCTTGGACTTTCTACAATGAAATTAAATATTGTTGTTTCATATCCATATTTTGGTCCAATCTTAAGAAAAATTAATTCGACAAACATTAGGTTTTGATAATATCCGAGACTGACCCTGAGATAATGAGACGTTTTAAATATAGAAATTAATAAAATGCGTAATAGTTATTTAGGAGCAATTAACATTCTCTTCTTCAAAAATAGTTATCAAGTCTAACATTTTTTTATTAGAGAATTCATGATCATATTGGAATTTTCAATTTTTTTACTGTTATATTTACTACTGCAAGTTTCTCTTCCTATGTAGGAAAACATGATGAGATTGGGCCCTTTGCATGAAATTTATTTTTGATTAAAAACATACCAGAATCCAAGTAATGTGGCACATAAATAAACTGCAAGAAAAATAAATCTAGAAAAAAAATAATTTGGCTATTAAATGGGCTTTCAAACATATATTTTTTTATTAGTTTGTTATAGCAATTTAGTTTACACGAATAAGCATGTGCTTAATATATGTGCCTAATTATAATAATCTTTATGCCAGACCCTGTCGAAGGCCTGGGCAACGTCCAAGAATATTGTAGAGCACACTTTTTTTCCTCTAATGTTTTCTCGATAACACTCGTTATTCGATGAAGTTGGTCAATTGTGGAGTGCTGACTCCGGAACCCAAATTGGTGTTGCGGGATGAGGGTTTTTCATTCTATAATTGGTGTTATTCTCTTTAAAAGGAGTTTTTCATAAAGTTTGACATAATCGGTAAAAGTGATATGGGCCTATATGATGATGCTTCGTGGGGTGGCTTGCTACACTTGGGTACCATGATAACTTCAGCAACCTTCCACAATTGGGGAACATATTTTAGTCGAAGCGATGTGTTGATCAGGTTAGTAAGTTTCACTAGCCCTTTCCTCGGTAGTTCCTTGGGGATCTGACCAGTGATTAAGTTAAATCCCGGAGTCTTCTTTGGATTTATGTTTTGTTTGATTTCTCTTTTTACCTCCGCTACTGTGGTTAATGGAATCTCTTCACTTTCCACTTTCCTGGTTATTTATAGTGGGTAGAGCCGCAGTACTGTCTGTTGGATTTGGTTGAAATATTTTATCAAGGTGTTCGAAAAATCTAAATGCTTTCTGCTCATTATTTCTAGCCCAGCTGCCGTCCATGTTTCTGAT